TTGTGTAAATGTGCCACATCTTCTTTACCCATTCTTCAGTTGAGGGGCATATAGGTTACTTCCAGGTTCTTACTATTTCAAATAATGCTGCTATGAACATAGTTGAGCACATGTCTTTGTTGCATGGATGTGGATCATTTGGGTATATGCCTAAGAGGGGGGTTGCCAGGTCCTGTGGTAGACCCATTCCTATTGTCCTGAGGAACCACCATTCTGATCTCCAAAATGGCTGTACAAGTTTTCACTCCCACCAGCAGTAGAGGAGTGTTCCCCTTTCTCCACATCCTCTGAAGCATAAGTTGTCATTGGTATTTCTAATTTTAGCTATTCTGGCAGGAGTAAGATGCTATCTCAAAGTTGATTAGATTTTCATTTCCCTGATAGCTAAGGATGTTGAGCACTTTCTTAAGTGTCTTTCAGTGTTTTTGATTTCCTCTATTGATAGTTCTTTCTTCAGTTCTGTTCCCTATTTTTAATAGGGTTATTTGGTGTTTTGTTGACTAGTTTCTTGAGTTCTTTGTATATTTTGGAGATCAGCCCTTTGTCGGATGTGGGATTGGTGAAAATCTTTTCCCAGTCTGTGGGCTACCCTTTGGTCTTGTCCACTGTGTCCTTTGCCTTACAGAAGCTTCTAATTTTGAAGAGGTCCCATTTATTAATTGTTTCTCTCAGTGTCTGTGCTCCTGGAGTTATGTTCAGGAAGCAGTCCCATATACCAATGTGTTCAAGGGTACCTCCTACTTTGTCTTCTAAGAGGTTCAGTGTGGCGGGATTTATGTTAAGGTCTTTGATCCATTTGGACTTGAGTTTTGTGTGAGGTGATAGACATGGGTCTATCTGCAGTCTTCTACACACCCTCATCCAATTGTGCCAGCATCATTTGTTGAAGATGATTTCCTCACCCCCATTGTATACTTTTAGCTGTTTTGTCAAAGATCAGGTGTTCATAGGTGTGTGGGTTAATGTCAGGATTTTTGATTCAATTCCATTGTTCTACCTGTCTATTTTTGTGCCAATACCAGGCTGTTTTCAGGACTATAGCTCTGTAGTTAAACAGCGAAGGAAAAAGGACAGGTAACATATAAAGGCAGACCTATCAAAATTACATCCGATTTCTCCATGGAAACCCTCAAGGCCAGAAGGTCCTGGATAGATGTTCAAGTACTAAGAGTCCACAGAAGCTAGCCCAGGCTACTATACCCAGCAAAACTCTCAATCACTATAGATAGAGAAAACAAGATATTTAATGACAAAGCTAGATTTTCACAATACGTATCTACAAATCCAGTCCTACAGAAAATTTTGGAAGGAAAACTCCAACCCAAGGAATTAACTACGCTCACAAAGATGTAGGCAACTGATAATCTCACTACACCAGAAACCAAGGGTAAAGCAGGACAAATATATTCACAATACCACTGCCAACAACAAATGTAAAACAAACAAGCATCAACAATCAATGGTCCTTACTCACCCTCAACATTAATGGTCTTAACTCACATATAAAAAGACACAGGATAACAGAATGTTAGCATCCTTCTGCTGCATACAAGAAACACATCTAAGCTTCAAAGATAGACATTACCTCAGGGTAAAGGGTTGGGGAAAGATCTTCCAATCAAATGGACCCAAGAAGCAAGCATAATATCTAACAAGTTAGACTTCAAACCAAAATTAGTCAAACGAGATGAAGATGGTCATTTCATATTCATCGCAGGAGAAATCCATCAACACAAAGTCTCAATTCTGAACATCTATGCCCCAAATACAATGGCACCCACATTTGTAAAAGAAACGCTAGTAAAACTCAAAGCTCACATAAAACCTCACACACTTATAGTGGGAGACTTCAACATATCACTCTCACCACTAGACAGGACCACCTGACAGAAACTTAACAAAGAAACAAAAGAACTAACAGAAGTTATGTCTCAACTGGGTTTAACAGAAATCTATAGACCATTCCATCCAAAGACAAAAGAATATACCTTCTTCTCTGCTCCACATGGAACCTTCTCTAAAATCAACCACATACTAGGTGGCATAACAAACCTCAACAGATACAAGAGAATTGGAATAGTCCTATTGTGGTTTAATAAGGATTAGGATAAACAGTTAGGCCGAACAGATGTTTATTCAGGGAGAAATAACTCACAACATAGACAGGTGAACACCAACAGGTTCCTGCTTCCAAGAATTCCTCTAGAAATCCTCCTGCCCCATGAGGCTTGCAAGAGAGCACTCTCCGGAACCTCCTCTGACCTAGTTCCCCAGGTCACTTCCGCCCCTGGCTCCCCCCAATTGGTGTGGTCAGTGCCACAGAAGGAGAAAAAGTGATTATCCCACATAGTCCCCTGTATCTTATCAGTCCACCAAGCTTTAAAATTGGAATTCAACAAGAACACAAATTGCAGAAAATGTACAAACTCATGGAAACTGAACAATGTGCAACTGCACCACGCCTGTGTCAAAGAAGAAATAAAGAAAGAAATTAGGGACTTTCTAAAATTCAAAGAGAATGAGGACACAACATACCCGAACTTATGGAACACCTTGAAAGCAGTGCTACGAGGGAAGTTCATTGCACTAAGTGCCCATATGAAGAAAACAGAGGATAGTCACATAAGAGAATTAACAGCACAACTGCTCAGGGCAGACCCAGAAGGGGATTACACTGACATCTATGTCTCCTAGTGAGGACACAGCATCAAAAGTTCCACATTTCCCAAGAAAGGGCCTTCACAAGTAATCAAGCATTCAAACCCAGATCCTGTGTATACCACTTCATATCCCAAATATAATATGCAAGAAACTAAAACACACAAACAACTTATATAAACAGACATCATACACACATACACAAAACACACAGACTTGCTGACAGGAATGCACACAGACACAGGTGTACAACCGGAAGAAGGTTTACACAAGGATATGCCCATATATGCCCAATGGCACTAGTCATGGAGAAAAACATACCAACATGTATCTATCTGTATGTTCAAAACATACTCAAGTTGATAAAAAAAATGTACAAAAGAACCTACATAAGCACAAATTTACATAAGCAAGCAATGATATCAGCACACAGAGACATTTGCACACATAAACACATAATCAAAAATACTGATGTGTAGTCTGTCACTGCTACCTAGACAGAGATCCACATTCAATACACACAGGCACACAATGTGATTGCACTGTGTTGTGGCAGAGAATAGAAGAATGGGACCCCTCAGAAACTTTGCCAGAGGCTTGACTCCCAATTACTCTGAAAATCTTGAAATCTGAAAAGACTGACGGCAGCTGTTCTATGAAAAGGTGCATTGGGATTTAGGTGCTTTGTAGGGCCCAGCTGCTAGCTGGTAGAGATAAGCTGTGAGGGTGTGGAGAGTCAGGGAGGTTTGCAGCACTCTTGTGAGGATGGGATGAAGGGGGAAGACAGGACACAGGGCTAGGGTGCTGAAGGGTAACACCACACATAGCTCAGTTATCAGGGGACTGCAGCCGGAGAACATACTCTTGTGTCGAGTACTACTGTTTGAGACAGGCAGTTGGCTGCTCTAGAAACTGGAGGTTCTGACTCAGAAGAGAAAGTGTTGTGGCATTTTATTTTTAGTGGGAATAGAGCCAGGCATGGGGAGGTTGAGAACAGGGCAGTCCTTGTTATCCTTTTGGCTCTGACTTCTCAGGTGTTACTTCCCATTCTGATGACATTCTCTTTTCTGATAAGGTTTTCTGAGAATGAGTGAAAGCACACGCAAATTATTAATTATAAAAATTAGCACCATGTATTTATGAGGTCCAAACAAAACAGTACAACTGGCCTATAACATGGATAGGAGTTTTGTGCAAATGGGGAGTCACCCAGTGCAGAATACATGTGCTGAAGGGAGGCCCTAGGCATAGAAGCATCATGGAGACCATGCAGCTGCTCCTGCTGACTGTGGTTCTGACCCTGCCCTCTGTGGAGCAATCATCCTATAGGAATTTTCAATATAATGTCACTGTTGATGGAGTGAGAGTGCTGGGCAGACTGAGTGTGCACACTGGGTTCCCATGGATTGGGTGAGAGTTTTCAGGCTGCTGATGAGAGCTGAAATGCACACCTTTGAGATGCTTTGGGTTTTGTTTTTAAGCTCAGTGTCTGTCCTCCAGCATGGCTTTTCTTGATACCTGACATCAGGAGCACCCAGAGCAGAATGTTGGCTTAAGGATAACTCTGTCTCATCTCTAGTCACATAAACATACTGTCTCTTCTGTCAGCCTGTGGTCTTCTGATAACCTTTGATTGATTCCAAAGAAATGACTCTTCAGTTTCTGTTTCTCAACAAAAGCCTCATGCACAATGCCGAACTTCAGACTCAGAGGGCTGAGCACCACTGGGTATGGGGAGGTCTGGAGGGATGGACTTCCTAAAATGTTTTGATGTTTAAATTGATGAATTGTATTGGGAAGATGAGAGACTCTGGAAATAGTCAGCCTTCCTCCCAGGCCCTGACACTGATGGATAAAGATGTCTATTGTGGCTTTCCTGGTATCTCAGTTTCCCTGCAGGCAATCATGCTTCATGGAAACTGATGTCTGGGTACCCTGCCTCTCTCTGAAAACTACAGCTCAATCTGGCCCAATAGCTCCTCTCTGTCTTAGAATGAAGTGATTGGCCATCTCCTGATCATATATAATCCGGGTTTGTTGATGATTTTCTCTGCTTTATGTGGGAACTGTACAGGAACTCCAAAATCAACCTGCCTCAATAATGATATGTCTTATTCAAGATCCCAGTACTATTCTACCTGGATTTTCACATTCATAACAGAGTGGGATTAACCATAACCAGGACTCTTTTTGATGCTTCAATGTATCATGATTGTTCAAATGGTACAGGGACCTTACCTCAGTCCCCTCCTTCATCTCTTCCCATCTCAATTCCTTCCTAGAACCCCTTAGTCTGACTTCCTTTTCATGATTTCCCCATCAAGAGTGATTTTGCTCTCTAGCTTCTAGGGAAGTGGTACATAAATTGCTGGCAGGAAACATGCCTGTTCCTGAGAAGAAGAAGGTCAGCCCACTGCCACCCTTCACATTCATCAGGAACATTATTGGCGAGTTGGAGTTCAGGATGAACATCTCTTGAGTACCTGCCCTCAGAGATTCCTCTCTGCACTAGGCTCACGGACTCAACACACTAACCATGTACATGTCCCTAACGTCAGCTGGGAACTCGATATCAACATGGAATCCTCTTGTATTTTCTGGACAATGTGTCAGGTGACTTCTGTAAGCACAATAGGGTTGTTCACAGGACACGAGATAGAAGCAGAAGGTCCAGTACATAATATGCTGTTTTCCTATGACACTCTCTGAAGGGCTAAAGCTTTCCTTCCTAGCGCTATTTTGCTCTCTGGAGTCAGTGTACTTGCTGTGCTTGTTTCTGCGCAGGCACAGAACTCCAGGCCCTCAAGATTTCACTCTGCTCTATGTGCAGTGAAAACAAGGGTAGAGATAGCAGGTCCAGGACTCTGGCTTCTGGGGGACACTTTTGGAGACACAGTAGTAGAATGACTGCGGTACCTGGCCTCCCACAGAAAATAGCCTAGGTTGGCAGGAATCCTGTTCTGAACTAGGAAAATGGGCAGGTCTTCATATATGTACCATATCTTTCTGGTCTTCCCGCCTGCTATAAAGTGGATCACACAAGAGTTGTGGAAAGCCATATGCTGATGCTTGCCCTAGTGCTGCATGTAGCAGAAGGATTTGGGGTCAGCTCATTAATTAGCTCAAAGATGGCAACAGGGAAGGATAGGACTGATGTCATAGAGAGAGCCACGCTTTTGTCTTGTGTTACAGAAAACCTATTGGGTGTATTGAGTTCAAGATATATCTGGAAAAAGTTAAACATCAACCTGGTGTCTTCTGCATCTGTAAGTGCTTGGGTTTATATTCTTCCTTTTCTGGTGCCATTGCCCTTCGGCTATGTGATTTATTTTTCTCCACAGGGCCAGATCACTGCATCATTTTCACCTTTCTTCTTGGGAAAGACTTTGCTATTGCCACTTATGTGAAGAACACCTACCTCATAAGTTACACAATGATAATGCTTATGGGTGCGTCTTACCTTGCCTAAGGTTATAAGGGATAGACACAGGTTTGGGGGGCAGTGAGTAAACAGTGGGTCATTATCTCCTCCTCTTATGCTCTAGCCCACCACCTTGGACTCTTTTCTGCAATGCCTGGGGTCTTTGATAGAGTAGTTTGTAAGATCTTTATGTGTCTTCAGCCCTCTCCAGATCACTCCTAGAGCACAAGGCTCACAACCAGACCACACCCACTGAGACCTAGCTCCTTCTTTCCTTTCTCAGTCAGCCTCTTTCCTGGCCTGTTCTAAGAAGGGATCAGCTTGGCATCATTTCCCATGGGGTCACTGAGAAGTATTTAGAGACAATGTGCTGTGTCATTATATCAGGGCCTGGTTTGACATCCAGATTGTGGAGGACAGAGTTGTACTCAACATCTATTGAGCATAAGTTGTTCCCATATACCCAGACAGACCTGAGGTACTGAAATCCACATTTATCATACTATCAAAAGAAAAGTGAGATGAAGGAAGGTTCCATGTATGGTTTTAGCTAATGCTAAGTAGAAAAATATTTCATTGTTCTCTCCTTTCTTAAAATGTTAGAAGCTTGAACAAAGCTTAGGAAATCTCAGTGGTTAAAGGTTCCTGCTCTGCAAGCATGAAGGCCTGAATCCATGTCATAAGAGCTAACAAAAAGAGGTAGACATGGCTGAGCATGCCTGTAACTACATTATTGTAGAACAGACAGTAGGTCCTCAGAGTTGGCTTCCCAGAAAATCTAGTCACAATGATGAAGTTCCAGTTCAATAGGACAATATATCTCAAGGACACAAGTTGAAAGCTGTGGAGGAAGATGATGCACATCCTTCTCTGGACACCGTGGTTACAAACACACACACACACACACACACACACACCAGGTGGGAGCAAATCATAACTGTGTATTTCCTGAAGACAGATTTTCAGTGACATCCTGGGCAATGCAGGTGTCTTGATTAAGTATTCCATGCTATGTCTATTCTCACAGGGGAGATCTGGACATTGTCATGCACATGGAAAGTATATGGGTTCAAGTTAGCAGTGTTAGCTGGAAACCTGACCTACACCTGCCACCATTACCAGGCACTTAGAGCCCCAATTCTGGTTAGCACATTTCTAGCCTCTGGTGTATTCTCCAGGAGCTCTGCACTCATGATCCTCCTGAACTTCAGGTTACACTGTGCTTCCTCCCACTCTCTAGGTCAGCCTGACCACCCACAGTCTTCAGCCAGTATTTTCTGCACATAAGACATTCCAACAATGACCTAGGAATCTCTCAGCCTAGACATGGAGACTCTAGACAGAAACACCTCCTGCTGTCCTTTTGCACTGCTCCTACCTGGTCCCCCTCCTGCTCAGGAATCTTCAGCTAGAGATGCTCTTTCTATGGCTTGAAATCTCTCAGGCCCCCTCCCCCCAAATACCTGAAAGATATGTGGGTTAACTGTCTATAGCAAGAGTCTTCTCCACCCCCTTGTTCCTTATCTGTGTAGCCCACAGGTCGCAACATGGCTCCAGGTCGAAGAATTCTATTTGAATTTAAAGATGTTGTGGAAAACCTAGGGCTGAACCGAACAGACACCATCCACCCTAGATGTGATGGTAATGAGACTGACATTTTGCTTATCTATTTCTCTCACATTCATGATTTTACTTGAAGACAAGGATCATCAAATACCCATCTGAGACAGGTATTTATGTTTTTAAATAGATTCCTGTGAGTCTTGCAAATAAACTTAATTCATGGAGAAGTATCAGAGACTGCACAGGACCTTGGATCTGGGACTACTGCACTCACCCATTCATCTTGTAGATACAATGTCAGGTGTTGAGGGAAGACAGACCCCACATGCCTGAGCTTTCAGTAAAGATGGTAGATATTCCCTTCTATATGTGTCATATGTGATCAAATAGCACCATATTTTCTTTTACTCTGGTGTGAAAGGGCACACAGAACTGACTTTGATCATCGGCATTCATGGGTCCCGATATAAGTGACATGTAATGGCATACAGGGTCAAAGGTCTCAGCTTTGGCAGGGAGAAAACTTATGGAGAGGTACAGAATAGGAACATGCATTATTGCTAGTGAGGGGAGGAAAGGTTTATCAGAGTCACAGGCAAGCAGATGTCAGTCAGCAAGTGAGGCTCAGTGCAAGAAACTGGGGCCTCAGTACTTACCCCCTGTTCTAGCGCCTAATGTTGGAATGTTGCCTTGTTGTGAGGGCCATGAAGGAGGTAGGGTGTGCTCTGTAAATGGGGGAATGCAGGTCTTGCAGGCAAAGGTTTTACTATTTATATCAATTAGGTAATCCAGGGCTGAAGTCACCAAAAGCAGACAGGTCCAGACACAGGAACTCTAGATATAGAAAGTCAAATATAAGTATCTTCCTCCCCAAGTCCAGATAAAAAGGAAGGGAAAATTTACCCCATATCTCCACTTTAGTTCCAACAATCTTATTATGCACACCATATTCCTTTTCTTGTAGAAATATATTTTTATGCAAAAATCAGAAATCCTCTTTCTGTTGTCTTCACAAGTCCAGGCAAGTAGGAGGCTTTAATGACTCAGCTAAGCCTGGGGTCAACCTCTACGTGAGGTTCCTGAAGACCAGGCTACTATGATCATGAAATGTGTGCATGAAAAATCAGCCCATTTGAACCCTGGCCCTTGTGTATACCAGCCACATATATTGTCAGCCATAGTGGATTTGAGCCCCGAGGAGGGAATGGAAGAGAGGACCTCAGAAAACACATAATGGCTCAGGATGAACATGTTCATGGACAAGGATATAGCATTGATTCTCTTCATGGAAGTCACAGATAGGGTAACTATTGTACTTTCTAGCTGTCCCACACAGAGCTTCTTTGAGAGGAAAAGACAGGGTGCACCTGAACCCTGGCATTGTGTGAATTCACGAACATCTTCTCAAACTGTACTATCATATACAAAAGGATAAAGTACAGTTCCACTGAAAAACAACTAGATAAAGCAAAAGTAATTTGATTATGTACTTATCAAGAATGAAGTGTTGCTTATAGAGGCATGACTGACATGTAAGTAACCACATCCCTGAAAAGACTCACCCAGGCATGGATGACAAATTCTCCACAGCTGTATACATGGAGTTTTCCTCAGTTAAACTTTTGTATATTCTAAAATGAGAGCATGTGTAGTTTGTACAGAGTTACATGCATCATGAAAGAGGTCCATTAGGGAGTGGATGAAACCTCATCTGAAGGTGTAAGGACCCACCCCAAACTTAGTTAAGGGATTATCTTCAGACCTAATCTCAATGGTGTTTTGATAATCACAGCTGCTTATAGAAGATGCTGTGGGTGTTAAGCTTGGTGGACAGAGTCCTACAATGGGCCAGATCAGGAGTTTGTACAGTCCTCTACAGTGCTTGAGTGTGTTGGGTATCATCATTGTTGTGGATCCCTGGTGTGAGGAAAACACCCAAAATTGTAATCCTTTGAGGAGGTTCATTCACTCTGGTGATCCCATCCCTAAGGAAACACAAATCCCCTCTTTACCATCCCTCCAGTGTGACTCCTGATTTCCTTTAGTCATTTGAATGATAAGTGGGAAGAATTACTGGTGTCTTTGATATCTGTTCACACTTGACCTTCTGTGAATCCTGGCTGTCACTGCTCAATCAACAGAGTACAGGTCATAGGTTTTAGACAGTTGGCAGGGAGGACTCCTTTCAGAGTACCCCCTGAAAAAGGAGAGTTGGGAAGACAATTGATACCTTTTATGCTAGCCTCAAAGCAGAAACAGGTTCATATAAATGGATGAGATATCACAGGGAAGCCAGTGTCATTCATTCAGAGAATGTGGCAATTTGGCAGAACTTACATGGATTACAGTGGGTTGTAAGAGGGATGTTATTTTGTGGTCATCCCCACAGAGACTTCAAGAAATGAGAGCCAGAGTTCTTCTTGTCTAGTGATCCTAATGTAGAAATCAACTCAGAAGCCTGACCAAAGGAACCCTTGCTCATTTATTTATTTATT